CGCTCCCAACCCCTTCGGGAAAGGCCTCAAGCGACCGACAGTGTGCCACGTGTGCAGGGAGGAGTTGACGAGAAGACATCTTCTGTTGGCCACGTGTCGGAGCCGTTTTTCGAGGTCTACATTATCTAGCCATGAAGTCTCTAGCAAACGCATGACCTAATATTAGATCAGGGATGGCAGCAGGGCGGGGCAACCACCCCCGACCCTTCATTTAAATTGAGACTAATAATTTTATTTTCCATTTTTTATTTAGAACTAATGAAATTTTGTGAAATTTTTCATTTAAAGTATTGAATTATATATATATAAAAAATTAAACGAGGAGGTGCGCCCGTTACCCTTCCCTGCCTCGAACTCACCTCGAGGCAAAATTCTCCGCCACGTTCCCGACCCGAATACCCGATTAAGCGGGTAATCCCACCTTGTTCGGGGTGGGGCCCCTCGAGTATCAGGTTTGTCGGGGTTTTTGCCATCCCTATATTAGATGTTTGGTTCATGCTTGAGTTGCGCTTTAACGTGTTGTTCATTTCAAACAACTTAAATAATTCAACACATTTTTGACATTTCTGTACATCATCCATATACCACTCCTATCTCCGTATGACCTCTACAATATACGCTAAAAAGAAGAAAATTGAGTGAATAAGATCTCTAAAACATGCGCTAAAAAGGAGGAGATTGAGTGAATGACCTCTACAATATACGCTAAAAAGATGAATATTGAGTGAATAAGAGCTCTAAAACATGCGCTATAAAGGAGGAGATTGTGTGAGTAGGAATTAGGCCGAGTGATGAGAAGAGGTAAGTTGGCCGTGCAGGTTCAAGTAATATAAAATAAAAATTATAATATTGTTAGGTGTAAATTGAACGTTTGATTCTATTATTACATTAGTAGATATATTCTACGAGAAGGAAAATAGGAAAACTGAGATTTCGTTTGTTTCACTGCTTTGTTTACATTTCTTGATTCTACTAGTGGGAAATGGCCTTGCAATCCTAAAATGGAGAAACAACGAAAACTATCTTTTAAGTAAATATGATCGAGCACTTATCAACTAAACCGATCCCTAATGATCTTTCGACCATAGTGATAGAGACAATTTCGTCAAACCTTCCTAAAATGCTTGCTCTTTTTCACTACACGTTCAAGCCAAAACTTCCTTCATGCAATCACAACCCATTTTACCATGTTAGACATAAATGTGTCTCCCACTATACTTCTTGATAATGCGAAACAATAATAATTTCAAAATATATTTTTTGGATTAACCATGGTCAATGCTCTTCCCCACTTTCTTAACCATGGTTAATCAATACTATAAAGTAAGGACTTTTGGCACTCCCTTAAAAGTCAAATAGTGATCACTGTCGTCTACCCTTTCTTCTCCCCGGTGAAGCAACTCTCCGGTAGTTTTTTTGCCGGAACCCAGGATTACAAGTCAAAACTTCCGGCCAAACAACAAGGTATGTGTAACTACATTTTTTCGGGTTCTGATACAGACAAAAGATCTTGATCGATCAATCTAGCAGAACTATATAGAACAGAAAAACCATTTTGATTGATCTTATGTTAGTTACTTAGTTTAAACTGTTATTGAGATTCATTTGTTATGTGGATTTACGGTTATAATAAAATAAATTCATTTTCCTATTAAAGGATATTCGAAGTTTGACTTATTGAAATTCTCAGACAAGAATTTCCCCTTTTGGGCGTTTTCTGTTATTTCGCTGACAGAAGAAATGGCAAAAGACATGTACGAGGAAGCCATCGAAGGCCTGAAGAAGCTTCTCAGGTTGTACTATTTTTCCACTATTTCCATATCTGTCCTTTTGGTTTTTGGGATTCCAATCACTCCTTTTTCATCAAAATCTGTCCTTCGAAGTCATTTTGCATTCCAATGGCACAAGCCCCCATGGCGGATGCATCATAATTTCGTGGGAAAATTGCATCTTTAGTCTCCAATCTATTATCTCGTAGCAAATTGATCCTTATTAGTTACAGATGAGCAATTTATTCTTCAACCTTTCATTTTGTAGTTGCATAATTATTGCTCGCTCATTTTGTAGTTGCATAACAATGGTTCGCACTTGGTAAGTTTGATATATGCAGTGGTTGAACTACATGGAGACATGGGGCAACAATAGTCAGTGCAATACTTTTAAGTTATATATACGACCCCACCACTGGATATGTTAAGAGGATAGCGCGACGATTCAATATAGATTTGAGCCGCTTCTTGGACCTATTGTGTACTATAATGAAAGATTGAGAATAAAATATTCCTTTTTTAAAAATTAGGGACTAGTTTGCTATTAAAGCAATAATTGGTGTCAACAATGTAATTTTCCAATTTTTATCTATTTCGTCATCATCGCAATAAATGCTGCAAACTTTTCTTGTGCATTTCCCAACGGTTTGTTTACCACATGGGACCCACTCACATGTTTCGGCCAATTAAGTGGGGTCCACATTGAACACTTGTATAATTATGAGTGGCTGATTAATTTTCCACTAGCAGAGCAAAGGGTGAGCTGCAGGCCGTGGCGGCCACCAAGATACGGCAATTGACGGCGGAGCTGGAGGAGAGCGGCGGGAAAAAAGAGTTCGACCCGGTTGAGAGAATCCGAACCGGGTTCGATCACTTCAAGAAAGAAAAATACGAGTAAGTAGTTAGTAGTGCCATTACATAATATAGAATAAATAAAAAATTGTACTTTGTGCAAAAGAGTTGGAACTTTCTGGTTGGCATCAAAACTTGCAAGATTCTTGGAAATGGTACTAAAATAAATATATCCGAATTTGCTATTTTAATAATGGATAATTATTGACTTCACCAACCTTTTTGATATGTAATACTAGATAGAGCTGGATATTACACATTAAGTCTCTGTTTGGTAGGGATTAAAATCAATTTTTTTTGCAAATTTTGATAAAAATTAATGAAATATGTGATTGAAAAGTTGTAGATCCCATAAAATATGTAATTAAAATTAAATGTTAATTTTGATTTAGATTTTAATCAATACCAAACATGAACTAAATATTTGATTAGCAGTATCAATTACAAGTGCATTAATAACATAAACTCCAAAATTTAACTTTATTCAATTAATTAATGGATTTAAGTACTTTTGTCTTTTATTTGCAGGAAGAATCCTGCTTTGTACGGAGAACTTGCAAAAGGCCAAAGCCCCAAGGTAAAAATATCGCGATGCCATATAATGCTGAACATAATTCGAATAGTCGATAAATTAGAAAAATAGAACAAAATTCTAGCAACTCCAACTAGTATTACTTAACAAATACGAATTTGACTTTGACGTTGACGTTGACGTTGACGTTGACTAACATTTACTAAATTTACTTGCAGTTCTTGGTATTTGCATGCTCCGACTCTAGGGTATGCCCTTCTCATATCCTTAATTTTCAACCAGGGGAGGCTTTTACTGTTCGAAATATCGCCAACATGGTTCCACCTTATGACCAGGTAATTCTTATTTTTACTTATAAGTTAAAAAGTTGTCTTCAGTCGACTACAAAAAATTCATTTTTCAATAGACTTAAGCGTTATACTTTACAAATCTTATGTTAACTACATAAAGTCCTTTGTCCCCACCTACCATCACTACGATCCTTTTAAACTTATAGCTTATCTTAACATTCGAAAATAAGTTAGCTTATTTTGATTTAATGTTATCGAGTCGCGTTAAATACTGTATATTAAATATGTACTAATATAATATTTATTTGACTTGATGTTCAGAAGAAATATTCTGGAGGGGGTGCTGCCATTGAATATGCAGTGTTGCATCTTAAGGTGACTATAAGATAAGAGTAATGCTACTTGCAGTCGCTCATTGCAGCAGTCGCCCTGTGTGGCACACACATGACATGTAGTTATTTGATACATTAATGTGGTAGTTTTTTATCACATTTAATGTATCAAATACACACTTGACATGTGTGTGCCACATAGGACGACTGTTGCAGTGAGCGACTGCAAGTAGCATTATTTATAAGATAACGTCTCTCTCTTTTTTTTTTAATTAATTATTTGACTTAATTTTACTTTAGTAAGAGCAAAGAATAAGTTGAAAACTAATGGATGCGACGTGAGCTTAAAAATAGGGACAAAAGCTGCTTATAAGTCAATTTCATAAACTCCTTTATTCTCATTTTTAATCATCAGAATTATCCGCACATTCCCACATAATACTTTCTTAGAATAATTCCAATTATAAGGAACTTTTCCAATGAACTTTCTACTTCAAAAAAGCCAATAATTAATTAATTTTTTTTTTCTATTTATATTTCTCTTCTTTTTGCACATAGTGACTTAGACTTTACGTTAGGTGGAGAATATTGTAGTTATTGGACACAGCTGCTGTGGAGGGATAAGAGGACTCATGTCTATCCCTGATGATGGTACCACTCAAAGGTTTGTCCTCTTGTATATCATTAATTTTACGTGGTACACGACTGCATAGCACAATAAGTCCCTGTTTGGTATATATTAATTTTAATTTTATATTAAAATCAACAATTAATTTTAATCACACATTTCACGGGATCCACAACTTTTGAGAGATTGTAACTTTTTCGGTTTCTTCTGTGTTGTCTAGAACTATGCGGTCCGCTTAATATAGATAGGTTCCACATATTTATCGTCATTTCAACTTGTAGTGATTTTATTGAAGAATGGGTGAATATTTGCAAGCATGCTAAGGCAAAGGTGAAAGCAGAATGTAACCATTTGGATTTTACAGAACAATGCAAAATGTTGGAAAAGGTAACTTTTTTCCGACCCTTTTTAGAAACTACTCGTAATAACAAACTTGTAAAAAAAGTTACTTATTTTGAAAGTAATTATTCCGTTACTGGCAAAATAAGTGACTTTGTAAGCTTAGCCGAGCATACTCTTGTTGCCGGTCGATTAATTCATTGTTTCTGTTGAATTGAACAGGAGGCAGTTAATGTATCACTAGGGAACTTGTTAACCTATCCATTCGTGAGGGAGGCAGTGGGGAAGAAAACCCTTTCCTTAAAGGGTGGACACTATGATTTTCTGAAGGGCTCTTTTGAGCTATGGAATCTTGATTTTAGCCTCTCACCTTCTCTATCGGCCTAAGTAATTAATGCTGTATTTATGTATTGCTTCTTGCTTCCTTTCAGATACTCTCTTATTCGAAGGTGTAAAATGTCGCAAAAAATAACCTTGGGTCGAGAAAGTAGACCCGAAAATAAAGTTTTCTTGGTGTATGTTGGGTCGAGTGCAATATTACATATGTTAGTATATGTTACCAATCTTTCTTGGCAATTATGTTCTAACTCTTGATCTCGATACAATGCCAACGACGCCAATTTCACTACGCAACTTAACTAATTAAAAGCATTATTATAAAAAATATGTCATCATTAATCATCAAACTGTCGTGAACCTGTCATGAGCTACCCCTCGACAAATTTAGAATTTTAAGGAGAAGGTTTGAAAACATATATCTTATGATTCTGACAGAGAATGTTAGTCCCATAATGTCTACATTAAAAGAAGCTAACATATACTGAGACGGTTTCAAATTTAGCAGCAACGGGAAAATTGTTCTTACTGACAGCATCATAAAGGACGTCAAATCCAGTATTTGATAAGGTGGATTGGACAGAATTATAGTATTAAAGAAGAAATAGAAGTCAGAAGTAAAGATCTTATTCATTGTAGGGACAGTTCAATATTATTACCGGACATGCTCGTAATGTTGTCTTATTTAATTAATCAATCCCTCAGATGAACACAATCACAGCTCAGGTTCTTACTTGGATTACAAGGGATCAGACTCCACCAGCACCCCCCAGAACAGTATGGATTTCCAGCAGAGAATCCCGCCCTTCTAAGAACTTCATAGGAGGTTTCGATTGCCAGAGGGAGACTAGCAGCCTTTGCAAAATCAAGATTCTTGCGTCAAAGTGGATAGTATCGTAAAAAAGTAATAAAATAGAGTGAGCCCAAGTATCGAATCCATGAGGATTGAGTATCTAATCTAGTCAATGAACCCAGGGGCGGACCTGGGGGGTGGCCTAGGGAGGTAGGTGCCCCCCAGATTTTGAAATCTTTTTTTTAATTAATATATAAAGGAAAAAAAATTGGGGGTAAGAATCAAATCCCTAATTCTCTCCACCCTCTCCCATCTCCACTCCTCTCCACACTCTCCCGTCTCCACTCCTCTCCACCCTCTCCCGTCTCCAGCCCAACTCCACTCCTCTCCCGTCTCCAGCTGGCAGCCCAAGTCCTCTCCTCTACTCTCCATTTCGAATCTTTCGTTCTCTGCCCTGACTGCCCAAGCAGTGAAGCAGCCGCTGCAACCTGCAGCCCAAGGTCCCAACTCCAGTCGACTAGTCTCCAAGCTCTAAGGACACTGGACCGAGGTAATTTATTGGATTGATTAAGCATTTTGTGATTGAGATTTTTTGGTTTTTCCACTGATTTTTTGGATTGATTAAGCATTTTGATTTAATTGGGGTTATATTATTGATTGAATGAATATGATTGTTAAGTGTTAACTGCATTTAGGGAATAGGGATAAGGGATTGATAGTTAGCTATTGATTTAGGGATTTACTGATTTAGGAAGATTGTAAGTTTATCTGTTTCTGTGTCTTTGAATTAGGATTTAGGAAGATTGTAAGTTTGTAACTTGCTAATTAATATGTTTGAAATTTGGGGACTTCTAAATTCTAATATGAATGATTTAGGGACTTCTAATATGATTGATTTTTTATTTGTTTCAGTTATGGACAAGTACTTTAAACGTAAATCTATGTTTTCTTGTGATGAGCAAAATATCGATGAAATGAATGATCGAGACAAGAGTGATAAAAATGATGTTGATGTTGGTGTTGGTGTTAGGGATGTGGGAGGAGTCGGGGATGTTGATGTTGTACATCTTATCACCGATCCTGAATTGAGAATTTCAATACAGAATGATGATATTAATTATCAAGATGTGATTCGAAGAACATATGTGCAAAGGGATCCTTGTCAGCCTTACAATCACACTTTTTCACCCACAAGAATGTGTAACAAAGATAAGTGATTTTGTGTTTCGTGGTATAATTAGCATCCTACCTAGTTGGAATATAGTGTAGCAAAAGATGCGATTTTTTGTTTTTACTGCTATCTTTTCAGTTCGAGTGGTGGTTCATTTCTTAATGATGGATTATGAAAGATGTTCGTGGTAGTTTCTTTTCAATTTTAGTTGATAAATCTCGAGACATTTCAGTGAAGGAGCAAATGTCGGTTGTTATTTGTTATGTGAAAAATGGGCATGTGTTGGAACATTTTGTTGGTGTTCGTCATTTTTCGAGTACCACAACTATCTCACTTAAGGCTGTAATTGATCAATTATTCTCGGAGCCTAGTTTAAGTACATCTAATTTGAGAGGTTAAGAATATGATGGAACTAGTAACACCCGAGGTGAGTATGATGGTCTCAAAGCACTTATTTTGAAAGAAAACCCAAACGCATACTATATTCATTGTTTTGCTCATCAACTTCAGTTAGCTCTTGTAGCTGTGGTACAGAAACATCCAAAGATTGAAACTTTCTTCACTACAGTACACAGATTGTTGAATGTTGTCGTGGATCGGCGAAACGGAGTGATCTTATTCGAGAGAACCAAAGATTGAAAGTTCTTGAATCACTCAGTATTGATGAATTATCAAGTGGATGAGGTCTCAATTAAGAAACTACCCTTCAGCGTCTTGGTGATACACGTTGCGGGTCTCATTACAGTTGTTTAACAAATTTGATTGTCATGTTTTCAATCATAGTTGACGTTGTTGAGATGATTGCTACTGACACTACAAGTACCAGAACAAGAGGTGATACTTGTATTTCATTTGAGTTGATGTTAAAATTTGAATTTGCATTTAATCTAGATCTCATGAAAAAGACTTTGGGAATTTCAATTGAATTATCGAAAGCATTACAACGAAAAGATCAAGATATTGTCAATGCCATGAGATTGGTGCAATTATGTAAAACACGACTCCAAATGATGGATGAGATTATTTCTTTGAGGTTGTTTGTTCGTTTTGTTAAGCTCACGCAATCAATGATCACAATATGGATGATATGTTCATAACTCTAGGTCGTTCACGGCTTGAGACGTAGACAAATTTGCATCATTATCGTATTGAAATGTTTTATGTTGTCATTGATATGCAACTTCAGGAACTAAATGATCGTTTTTTTGAGGTAAATAGTGATTTGCTACTTTGTGTTGCATGTTTGTCTCCAAATAACTCTTTCGATACTTTTGACAAAAACAAAGTGATTCGACTATGTCAGTATTATCCATTTGATTTTTACGCAACAGATATCTCAAAACTTGATGATCAACTAGATACATATATTCTTGAAATGCACACATCTGAAGATTTTGAAGGATTACAGGGTATTAGTGATCTTGCGTAGAAATTGTTTGTAAAGAATAAACATAAAATGTATCAATTAGTCTACAAGTTTGTGACATTAGCTTTAGTTCTTCCCGTGGCTACTGCTACAGTCGAGAGATAATTTTCTGCGATGACTTGTGTCAAAAATCGTCTGCGCAATCGAATCGGAGATCAATGGTTGAATGATAGTTTGATTGCATATATTGAGAAAGATGTATTTGACATGATTGAGAATGATGTAATTATGGAACATTATCAAAATATGCGAACACGTAGAGAACAGTTATAATAAAATATCTTTTACTTTAATTTTTTCGTCAGTTTTTGAAAGTTTAATTGTGCCCTCCCCTGTTTAAAAAGTCTGCGTCCGCCCCTGAATTAACCTAACTCTAATCGGACCCCACAATTATTTAGAGGTGGATAATTTATATGAACAATCTAAAACTAACTAATATATTCTACCTTCTAAACTGAGTGATTGGAAAGCCAATAATCAAGTAATGAATAAAACATTCATCCATTTTAATATAAATCCCATAATTCAATAACATTTATTTGGACTTGAAGATTAATGTTCCTATCTTCTTGTTTAGCCAAAAATCAAATTTTTAGTAAATATAAATAAAAAAGATGAAATATGTGATTGAAAAGTTGATAAAAATTATGTATTCGATCACATCAAATGTGTGGTTGAAATTGATTTTGTGAAAAATTGAATTTTAGAAAATGCAAGCCAAAAATGGATTCAGTAATCTTTATCGAGTAGAAGTAAAAATAACCTCAGAAATGACCCAAAATTCATATTCCCAATGCGAATATATGAAAAATTCATTAAACGAGATCATTTAAAGCATACATAGTTATCCCTGATGCCTATAAGAATCTACAATGTTTGTTACCACGTGATAACTTTTCTATTCATTCCTCCTAATGATAATAGAAATTAGACATCCATGAAATTAGTGTTCAAGTAGCTGAAAATCATTATGATCATAAGAAGCATTCAAAACCAAACAAGCATTTAAGTGTTAAAATATTGAAATTAATATAAAAACATGAAAAAATATGGTTCATCGTAATCATAGTGTCTGTTGACCCCAAAAAATGAGCTCAACAGATACCGGGCCCACTCTTGCCACGTCAAGTACGGGTCCGACACGTTTCTACCGGAAGGTAATCGGTAGTTTTTCTGTTCATGAACGTGGGAGGCACTTTCGGACGAGAGACAAAAATGTTTGGACTCCGGTAGTAATATATGAAGGAAATCACACTAACAATGATCCCTGAGTTTTTATACTTTATGAACTAATTCTTCTTTTGTAATGGAATATGTGGAAGGATAGATATGATATGAACCAGAATGTTTTTATCTTTGATAGCTCTAAGGTTTTTTCTCTTTTCTTAACTCAAAAAAAATCTCTCCCTCCATGAACACAGAAATGAATCATTTATACAATTCTGGTAGACGTGGTGACCGTTAGATCAGATCCATGTGGAGGCACATCCTAAACTGAGGCTTCACGTCGCTGTCTAATCAATGCATTTAATGTTTTGACTAAAGGTCAGCCACTCTAGTAACAGGCTGACACTATTTACAACTGCGCACTTTATTGTAGGCGTCCCATCAATTAATCCAAGAAGATCTTCCAATCTGCTGAGGCATCGTCGAGTTTATGA